AGATAGATAGATAGATAGATAGATAGATAGATAGATAGATAGATAGAATTTCAAACAATCCCCAAAACAGTACTAAATGTGAAAAAGGAAAAACATCAACTGGTCATTTGTGTTTTGTTTTTTTCCCAGTTTTATGTACACTGTGATAAATGTACAATCCTATATGTTGTTTTTTATTTTTTTTGCATGTTTCCCCCCCACTTCTCTGATGCAGCGAGAGGCGGGCCGGGCCGGGCCGTTCCGGGCCGGGCTCATATAGCTGCATGTGATCATGATGGGAGGCGTTCAGAGGAAAAAATAGTTTGCCAACATCCAGCCCGCAGCACTTGAGAGCTGACACTCTCTCCCGGCGCACGGAGCTACGGGCTGCAGCGGGGCTCTGGTCTGTCCGTCCTGGGTCAGGATATTTCCATCACTTCATCACGTCCGGATAGCGACGCTCTGCAGCTCCGATTATGGGAGACGCTCAGTCTGCGCAACGGGACGACAAGAGGGATGCGGCAGCTGAGGAGGAGAGCGGAAAAGTGGATGATGTTCAAACTGAGCAGAGTGTTGACGAGAAGGTATGAGATGTTTTTACCCCCTTCCTTCCAATTTTGCTGATTTAAGAAAAATATTTTTGGCGTGGGGGTCTCTTCTATGTGGGGGACAAAGATTGATCGTGTCATTTACAGCTGTTTCCAGTTGATTCTATCACGTTCTTTATTTTTGTTTCTTACATAAATTATCCAAAAGATCTGAGCAAAAATCGGTAGAGGGTTGTTTAAAGCTGGGGAGATGCTGAGGCTGGGTTTTCCTGTGGTCAGGACAGTGCGCATGCTGCTTGCCAGCACATCCATTAAATGCAGAATAGAAGTGAAGTCCTTGAGGAAATCCATCCCAGCTCTCCCACTGAGTCTGGCTATAAATAAAAAACGAATTCACCCACGTCATCAAAAACAAATGGACCCAAATGATGGGACTTTTCCTGGATATGGTTATGTGTAAAATGAGATCACACACAATTGCAAATTGGTAAAATTCTGTACATTTTCTTAACGATCAACAGTGAAAAAACTTTAAAGAAGTCTAAGTTTCTGTTTTTTGTTGTTGCTTGAAGCTGATGCATAGATGTCTGATGAGCCAGCATGTACACTGTTTCAGTGTTGTTGCAGTGATTTTGCAATCCCTACAGGGAATTATTTATTCCCCGAGGAATCTGAGAAGAGCCCAGGAGAGGGATTAAATATCTCCTCTCTGCTGCACTCAGCAGGAAGCAGCATTGATTATTTGTGTATAACATCATTACCTGGTCATGCTGAGCAGGAAGTCAGACAGAAAACACTGTCTTGGAACAGTGAAGAGACTTTATTTAGCTTTATATTTATGGTTCATGCTTTAAGGTGGAGTTAAGATGATCAAATGATGATTAAAATCAGTTTAATCTACAAATATGCCAAGAAGAATACTTTTTTTCCCTTTGTCTTTTGTATGAATAGTTGAAATAACTGAGGGGCCTTTGTGCCACATGTGTTTTGCAAAGGTGTTACATAAGGCAAAACATTTTATTTGATTTACTGAACATTTGAGAGCTGCACATGGAGCTGCACAGCTCGAGATAAACTGAAAGAATTCACAACAGCTTAAAACTCCCAACAAAGGCACAGTGTGTATTTCAGACCGTGAATCTCTTTCAGCTGGAAAAATGTGTTAAGATTATCGTCTTTAATCTTGAGGCATCCAGTGATTATCTGAATTTAGAATGCATGCCCGTAATTTTATCTCTAGCTTTACGGAGAGGAGTCTTCCTCGTGGTTTTGTTGAACAATCAGGTCGTCATTACTCATGTAAAGGAACAAATTTTGGCTCCAAAGGGAATGCGAGAAAAAAGCAGAAAACTCCTTTACCTAAACAGGGCCTGACAGCGACAGCTACTTAAACCCCCTGTGATAGTAGTTGGACATGTGTTTGGTGTTCCCTAACCCTTATTCAGACTCTCCACACAAATCTGGCTCAACTTACTTTGAGCCAGAGTTTTGGGTAGTTAGAGTTGTTAACCGTGAGGCTGCTATCACAGACATTGTTTGTTTTGGAGAGAGTAGATAAAGGAAACCCAAGTAACTCGTAAGTGGAAATTCATTGTCTGCTGCTCTGCTTCACTTGTTTTTTGAATGCAGCAAATTGCTCGAATTAATTTGTTGAATGAGGGAACTTAATGGCAGGAAAGGCTTGTTTCTGTATTTTAGCTGTTTAGAAACTGTTGTTTTTTTTTTTTGTTTCAGCCCCTCAAAAACAATGGGCAGATCGCTGAGATCAGTAGAAAATCAGACAGTTCCATAGCAGCACTTAATGGTCACTGTGAGGATGAGATTGCTGCAGAAGGTAGGTAGTATGACTTGTTGGATTTCAACTGATCTAATTTTTTTTTTGCTGGCCCTGCATTCAAAGTCTTTCAATAACTTCTCTTTTTCTGGTTTTAGTTCTTTCTCCAGACAAAGATGTATCAGAGTCACTGAAAGAAGAAGAGACAGCCTTAAAAAAGGAGCTGTCTGATGAAACTGATGCTAATGAAGTGGGAGCAGTTGAACTGATTGAGATGGAGGCCAAGCAGAATGACATCAATGAAAGCTTTAGGAAATTTTTCAGCAACATTAGCTTGAAACTGACAGTAAAGAGAGGCTCTACTGACGTAGAACGACAAGGGCCAGAGGAGGAAGCAAACAAACCAGAAGACAGCAAAGATACTATAAGTGAAATCACTTTTGAGAATGATGAACAGAACATAGATATTAGTCCACCACAGGAGCCCCATGACAATGATTCAACGACTTATCAGACAGTGACGGATGGCACATTGGAAGACTTAAATGAAAAAACAGAAGAGAAAGCAACAGAAACCAAAGATGAGGTTGCATCTGATGATGCGGATGGAGAAACAACCTCACCTGTAACCGAAGACATGCATCAGGATGCCACACCTGAAGAGGAACCGATTCTACAATCTCCATCCCTTCCAGATGGAAAAGAGATTGCAACTCAGTTTAAAAAGTTTTTCACGAGTGGAATCTTTTCTGGTATTCGGAAGAAGAAAAAAAGTGTAGAAGAGGAGCTATCTGAGAAAGAATTGGAGGACATGGGGAAAAAGGTAACCGTAGAGAGAACGGACCAATCTGTAGAAGACCAGAAACAGCAGACAACAGAGATATCTGCTGGACTTGAGGGTGCTAAAGCTGAAAGAGAACTTGATGAAAAGGAACTTGATGAAAGCCTCCTAAAAGCTGAATCGGCTCAGGCAGTGGATGACATGAAATCCCTCAACGAAGCTGGAAATGAGCAAGAAAACAAAGTTCAAGCCAGTCCTCTGAAAAGGCTCCTGTCAGGGTCCAGTTTAAAGAAACTCTCTAAGAAGCAGAGAAGCAGAAGATCAAGTGATGCTAAGCTTTCTGACTCTGGGGATCACATTTCCGATCAGCTCACATCATCTACAGAGTCAACTGAAAATCAGAAGGAGGAAACTCCAGCTCAGACCTCCACAGAGCCTGCACCTGAGGATGAGGGAGCATGGGCTTCCTTCAAAAAACTCCTGACTCCACAAAAGCACATGAAGAGGTCTTCCCTGAGCCAAGAAGAAGGGAAAATCCCAAGTTCAGAAGCTGGAGCTAAGACGGCAGAAGGAGAACAGATATCAGACCACAGCACAGAGGAGGGAAAGAAAAGAAAAGATTCAACTGTTTCATGGGAGGCTGTTTTGTGTGGATCTGGAAAAAGACGCAGCCGTAAAACATCAGACTCTGAGGATGAAACTCCCCAAGCTGATCTTGAGGATACCAAGCAAGGCAGTGGACTGGAAGCAGAGCCAGTGGGAACTTCTAACCAAGTTCTGGCTTCATCTCCAAAACAGACAGAAGGTCCTACAGAGGACGAGGAAGGCTCAACGTGGAAATCATTTAAAAAACTTGTCACTCCCAAAAGGAAGGTAAAGGATGAGGATGAAAGCAAAGATAATATACATGACACTGACAGGGAAGTTGCTCAAGACGATTCCCCCTTTTCCATAAAGAAACTTCTACCAGGCCGAAAGAAAAGAAAGTCTGCTGAAAAGCAAGACCAAGTATCCCTCAATGAGGCAGATAAGGAAGAGGTTTCAGCTGATGAGGACTCTGAAACACCGGCTGTGGTTCCACTATCTGAGTTTGACATGGATGAGGCAGCAGTGCACGTAGAAACACAGCCAGACATAGATAGCCATGAGCCACAAGAAGCTGAACTTGAGCAGGACCTTGTTGACGAGATGACAGAGCAAGTAATGCCCCCCGATGTTCCTTCATCTGAGGTTAAAGAGATCCCAGAAAGTGAAAAGGCTGTGGAAAGCGAGGTTCCTGTATCACCTGTTTCAAATGAAGAACCAGAAGACCTCACAGATTTGCTCAGCAAACAACTCAGTGACATTCCGGAGGAGGGTGTAATTACAGAGACATCTCTGGCCTCAGTCGCTGAGGAGATAGCAAGAGATGACACCCTAGCAGAGGACCTGATAGAGATAACATCGGAGGCCATAACTGCTCCAGAGCCTGTAGACACAACTCTAGCAGATGAAACTGCTGAGATGATCTCTGCTGTTTCCCAGCTGTCAGATTCCTCAAAAACATCTGGCAACACAACACCAGTGCCAGCGGAATACAGCGTCATGACAACAGAGGTGCTACTGCAGCAGGTCTCAGAGTCTATGGCCATAACCCCAAACACAATCCCATTGTGTTTGGAGGAGCCAGCCCCCGAAAGAATGGCTTTGTCAGTCTCAGACCAAATGCTCGGATTATCTGATGTGAACCAGCCAAAAGTGCTGGAATTACACAGAGAATCTGACGTAGCTACAATAAAAATGGGTCTTAAAGCTGAAGCTATTGATGCCGTCGATGAATTTGCTGCCACGGCTCAAACTGAGTGCGTGTCTCACCTTAACAAAGTTATCCCCACAGAAATAGTATCAGAGGTTCCAAAAAAAGAGTTTCATAATGCTGAGCCTGTTGCAGATAAAGTCTATGAAGTCAACATCTCTGAGTCACAAGAGAGCATTCAAGAGTTTCAAGTTAGCGATGACAGCCAGCAAGCAGAGGAATCTATAGAGGAAAACAAAGCTGTGTCTGCAGATCAGTTACTTCAAAAAGATGAAAAAGTTGCTCTACTTGAAGTTGATGTTGGTTTAGATCAAGCAGAGCCAGAAATGCCAAAAACACCACCAGAAGAAGGGGATTTGGTGGTTATATCAGCAGAAGAAACTGAGGAAGTAGCTGAAAAGGAGGAGGTCCAAAGTGTGGTGGAAGAGGCAGTTGACAGAACAGAAAATGTCTTTCAGGAACCCCAAACTGAGGGCGTAGCGCCTGCTTTGGCAGATGATTTGCAGGCACTGACAGGAGAAGAAATGGAGGAATGTTATGTTAAGTATGCCGAAGTACCGTCCTCAGATGACATTCCACCACCTGTAACAGATACAGATGAGCCCAAACGGGAAGTTGAGCCTCTCTCAGAAGTAACCGATGAGACAGAAAAAACAGAGCTACAAACAGGTGAAACGGATCAGTCTGAGATGAGAGTTTCTGAAGTCACAGAAGTTGAAGAAACGTGTGAAGATCACAAAGTCTTTGATGCAACAGAACTTCAGGTTTCTGATGCTGCAGAGGTCTCTAAGACTTCAGAAGTTCAAGATATTTCTGAGGTGTCAGAACTTGCAGCATTCTCTGAAATGAGAGAAGTTTCTGAAGAGACAGAAGTCATGGAAGATGTAGAAGCAACCCCATTACAGTCAGACATAACTAGTGTTCAACTGTTTGAAAAAGAAGTAGTGTCAGAGGATGTTCCTCTCTCTTCAGAAAAAGTTGAAGAGGAAGCAAAGAAACAATCAGAATCTCCATCTGAAATGAATGCTGTATCAGAGGATTCTCCTATAACCGAAGATGTTCAAGAAGAGGAAGCAAAAGGAGAAGAAGGTGTGGTTCTTCCTACACTAGCAGGCAAGTCTGAATCACTTGAAGTTATAACCGATGATACTGCAACAGTAGAAACTGTTCCAACTGAACCCAAAGAGACATTGGAACTTCACATAGAGCCAGAAGAAGAACTCCAACCAGAGGCATCAACAACTGACTTTAAAGATGTTACATCTGAAACCGAAACAGATACGGAGACAACTAATCCTCCATGCGAAGCTGAACAGAGTGCTGAGGAAAGTGGCGCTCAGGAACTTGAAAGGCAAACTTTGGTAGAAGATGCCCCTCAACCAGAAGAATCTGACAGCGTTCCAGAAGAAACTGAAAGACCCGTCACACCAAAACTGGATCAGATTTCGGAGATTTACAATAACGAGGAAGTCGAAAGTATCCCACAGGACGCTCAGGTGGAGCAGGAGGACACACAGGAGCTGCAGACATCAATAGCAGTTCACATCTCCTCGGTCACTGAGGAGCAAAGCAGTGCTACGGTCCTGGAAAAAACAATATGCACTGAAGATCCCGCACCTTCGGTGGACAACATTGAAGTTTCCAGTGAACCTGTTTTTCATCTAAGTGTCTGTGGAGTGCAGCAGACTGCAGAGGAGGAAAATGCAGGTGTCATTCCAGTCCCTGGGCTAAAGACTGCTGCTACTGACCATACCTTTGTGACACAAATGGTAACATCTAATATTAAAGACATTTCGGCCGAGAAACCGCATGTTTTGGTTCATGAGCCCCTGACAAGCAGAGTGGTAACTGAGACAGAGTTCAATGATGCAGTTGAGACTACAACACCATTACTGAAAAAAGACGTAACTGAAATAGCTGAGAAGGGCAACGTGGTGGTGCTGATGCACGTGCCGACGGTGGAGTTTGAGGAAAATCACAGATTCCAGGTGCAGGTGATGGACGTTGACATCAGATCGGCCCAGAATGTAGTTGACACAGTGATAGAGGTTGGGGTTACAGAAGCCAAAGAGATCATAGATGTTTGTCATGAAACCATCTGCGAGGTCGAAAATCTCTCGGCCACTCCTGATATTGAGGAGGAAATTGCACAAGAAGACATCAAAGTGACAGTTCAAGAAGTCATTCAGCATCATGAAAACATCATAACAGAGACAATTCCCTGTTCAGACGTCGTAAATTTGGAGCAAGAAGCCATTAGACAATCGGATCCTGTGGCAGACATGGCTAGAAGTGAATCCAGCGAGGCAGAACTGATACAGGAGAGCACTGAGACAGTCATGGAAATCCTGGATGAAGAGCCTGCTGCCATCACTGAACATTCCTTGATCCCAACTGACCAACAAGAGCCTGATGTTCAAAAGCAAATATCTGATAGTCCAGAAAGTTTGGTTGGGTCTGTGCAAGAGCACGAAGAGGATCTGGACGAAACCAAAGCTGAGCTGGAAAAACCCAAAATTTGTGACAGAGCAGAAGATGCAGCAGCAGAGCAGCTGGCTGTGAAGAAACTTAGTGAACAGATCATGGAAACACAAAGACTGCAGACTGCCCAAGACCAGATTGTGACGCATAGCAATGCCGGCTTAGCGGTCCCCCAAAACACCGGAGTCATCTCGTCGATAGGTAATGTGGAGTCCCCTTCGAGTCTATCCCTAGAGTTCAAACTGAACATACAGTTTGGGCAAGCAAAGGGGCCAGCCCCCCCTCCACCTCCCATAGAGAGAACGGAACCTATTAAACAGGTGGACATGTTTGAAGTTGGTGTTCAGGCAGAGGAAGCAGTGGAACCTCCCCCACCAACCAATCTAACGCAAAAGGTTGAGACGGTGAAACCGCCTGAGCTTAATGAGGTCGCTGTTCAGGCCACAGGTCTCCCAGAAGCGGACGCAGACTTATGGTCAATCAAACAAGCAGAGATTGCATGTCTGCCGATGCAACAGGATATCAGCGTCCAAGTAATGGAAACCATAGAGCCCGTAGAACAGAGCGAGACCACGGAGAGGGTGAGCCCACAGGTTCAGGTGGCAGAGGCCATCCAACCAGCACGACAAAGAGAAAGGAGGGCCGTGCACCTGAGTAAGCCGCCGCCCTCTCTGACCAAAGCAGAGGAGAATGTTAAAGAAACAGAGGAAGAGAACGATCACGATGTGTGGCTGGATGCGGAGGAGGATATTTACACCCAAGAGGAAACGCAGAGCTCCACTCAGGCGGTGGAGGAGGAGGAGGAGGAGGATCCTGTAGAGCTGCCGGCTGAAAGTGAGCTAAAGGAACAAGAGGAAGTTGAAGACCAGTTTGAAATGGTGTGTAACCCTGAGGGTGAGGACAATGAAGTTAAACAAGAGCTGCACAAAGCTCTCATAACCTGCGATTTTGAGAGTGAAGGGGAAGATTTTGCTGTTGCACTTGAGGACCTGGAGGAAACCAGGGTTGCTGCACAGGATCTGGATTAATCAAGTGGACCGGGCAGGTAAACTACTTAATGTAATCTTACCCATCAACCAGCCTGCTCTTCATCACAGTACATTAAGCAGACATAAATTAATACCCTGCTCCTTTCTCCTCCTCCCTGTCTTTCTGCAGGTTGATCAGTCAGTGAGGCTAAAAGGAAGAAAGTCACCGAGGGCCACTGAAGCCTTTCCACTGACATCTTGTCAGGGCAGGGACACACCAGTATTCACTGTTGAGAGCAACGTCGATTTGAATTTTAGCATTATATTACAAAAGCATCTGGGGTAAGAGGAGTATGGACTGGAAAAGTGCTGAACTTCTCATGGGGAATGCAGCGACACTCCAAGTCGGACTACATCACCCACAAAAAAACCTGCTCCAGTAAATATAACTTGCTGTTCTGTGGAGTGCCGCTATGACTACTAATCACGTCAATCTTATTTAACGCCGTACTCACTTTTTAAATAGAATGTATATGTCACAGAGAACAATATTTTTACCTGGTTTATCTTATAAGCTTCAAAGGTTCAGAAGCAGCAATGACTCATGTATGTAACCTCCGACACAGCACGTCTCACTTTTTATATTTTAGTGTAGATATTCCACACATCTCATCTCATTTATGTTCATACACAGGTTTGTTATTCAGCCCTTCATGTTTAAACAGATGTTCCAAGCAGCTTCTTAAAACGAAAGACTTAATTATACCGAGGATATATCATATTATATTCCATCTTGTACATAGTGTGTGTTTTAATGCTTATGGAGCAGATATATGTGCATTTCCAATCAACAATCTACTACCCAAATCAGGCAAAGATAGGATGGTGATTAGCAGTGATTTGCTCCCCCTCTGCCTCTGTTTAATCACATGAACCCAAAGAAGCAGAAGTCCAAATCTACATTATATATTACCATACATGCGTTTGTCAATTTCAGTACTTTAACATATTCCAAAGAGAAAATGGTTAAAGTTTTTAACCAGTTTGTAATGTTTCCAATGATTCTAACCACATTAAAAAGACTTTCTGGCATTAAGAAATACCGAGTAATGCAATATTTGAGGTCGTATCAAGTCTCATTTTTCCTGTAAATGCACCTTAAGATGTCAGAATTTTTCTTAAAATAAATCCAGAATCCTCCACACACCAGGGAAAGGCTTTTTAGCAATATAACATGATTAGTATAGTTTATATTTATTTTAATTGTCATGGTGTAACTTTCGATGGCCTAAAGCACAGGAACGTATTACGTCTGTTAACAAAGAGACAAAACATGAAATATCTTTGATTTAACCGGTTAGCAATACGAATTAATGTAAATTTACTTTTTAAAAATTCTGCATGTTTTTACATTAATGTCCCCTCTGAATACAGTCAGAATGTGTTTTTTTCTTTCTTTTTTAAGTGCTGGCTTCCCCCCCGCTGTGCCCCCAGAGCTCAAGTGTTTAAATTCTGATGGGATATGATGAAGGACATGCTGTTGTGTTTAGATTTTGCCATCTTTTTTTCCCCAAACAATGCAAAACTTAAGGAAACCTCTCCTATCCACCAAAATGCATGTGATGTCAAATGTCAAAATGCAAAACACAGCCCTGAGTCACCTGCATTCATATATCAGCTGGTGTTTTATGACTAAAATGTTGTTTTATTTGAATAAATTAATACTTACAATTTTGAGTGCCTCGTTTGTGTAACGCTGATTGAAAGTTTGCTTGATCATATTCTACTCTCAGTTCAACAAATAGCTATCAAACAAGAGAAAACATTTAAAAAAAACAAAGAGTTTTACTGAATTTTAAGCACAGCACTCACAGTTTGTGTTCTGGATTGAAAGAAACAACAAAAAGAAAACTCGACGTATTGAAATATTTAGTTTATTCTGTTTCAAATGATCTGTCATGTGGTTGAAGATAACATAAGACTCTCTGAACTCACTTTTCCAAATACATCCATAAATAATTCAATAATAATTTTATAAAACACTTTCATAGGTGGCAAAATGACTTAAAATGTACTGTTGAAGCAGACAGACTGTAAAATGTGAAGAAGAAAACATTTAAGAGGACCACGGTCCCGTTTACTATTTGAGTTCCCTCAGTGTTGCAGAGTACCTCTGAGCAGGGTACGCTTAAGGCAGCCTCCTGTTACCCTTATCTGAGCATTGTTGGAGCGGAGGTTTAGAAGATCATTTTTGCAAGCTCAAACATAACCTACAAGAGAAACAAACAACAGTTGGGATTCATTTTGAATGGGGATACCCCAGGCTGGACATGACGCTGCACGTGTGACCGTCCTTACCTCAATCGTAATGAGGATGACTATCATCCACTCCAGTCTCAGGCTGTGCTTCTCACTCAGGTGGCTCCTCATCAGGTCTGTGAGCTGACTGCAGTGCTCCAGCTTCTCGTTCACGACCTCAAAGAGTGACACGGGATACGTTTAATGAAGGCCTACGGTGAAATAACGGGGCTAGCTCTCTCAGGGCAGCTGTAATCACATTGACTCTGCGGTTGATGCTGAGGAACTGGCACGTCTTGTCGTAGAGTTTTTCCAGGTTCTCTCGGTCCCAGTAGAAATCAGGTGTGAGGAGAAGGTCAGACCTCAGATTTATGCAGTGCCTGTTAAGAGGGATGCAAATGCGAATGATTAACAATACGATTTGCCATTCCAGAGTAGAGTGGAAAACGCAAAGAAACTGAAACTCTACTTCTAAAAACAGACAAATAAGCGAGGAGACTGGCATCAGTAATTGGAAAGTGTCGGCTTGCTGTTAGGTATTAACAGAAAAAAGACTGAACAGCCATTCAGAGTAAAGTGATTTTTTTTCTTTTTTTTTCCCCATGTCGTGTTTGGCAGAGTAAAGTGAATTTACCGTAATGTAAAAAGCTCTCCTATCTTCTGCATCACTTCTGCAGAGGACAACTTAACTCTTTTGCCAGACTTCAGCGTCTGGGGAAAACACAGGATATTAATATGAATATTTTAGATATGAACTCAAACAAACATTACAAGTCATCAATTGTTAATCCGATCTTGCCGCTTCTTGTACCTCCGGAATTGATTGTATTGACTCTACAAAGTTGTCTAATGCCACTTCCCATATTGCCAACTTCACTAAAAAGGAAAACAAAGAGTTAGACTAGAAGCAGAGGAGTGACTTGACACAATTGAGCTCAAAACGATAGTGATTTATAGGCACACACCAGACAAACACAGCGCATTTGAAAATGCAAACTTCTCAAGAACAGCTTCTGGTGGATCCATCTCATCGCTCAGGATGAAATTTCCACGCTCCAGCTTTGTATTTCCCCTTGGGAAGAAAAGATTAAATTATTAGGGAAGGGGCACAACGTCTCAACATAGAGTTAGACTGATTTTATGTCACCATACTGTCCGACTCTGTAGTTGATCTCCTCGTTCTCCCAGTGGACTAATGCTACCTCATAAGGCTGGATTTCATGATGTTCCAATAATCTCAAGACCTTTTTAATCTGTATAGGGGGGAAATAATTTCATTCACACAATAAACAAAATAAAAACAAAAAAAACAATTGCGAACTTAGAAACATATACAACTTACAAATATAAAACCTTTGAGTAATATTTACCGATTTCTCTTCAACATTCCAAAAAACCACCGATCCTTCCCTGAAATTTCAGATTCTGAATGTCAGAGCAAAGATTGGCCAAAGCACATAGGCTGAACATTAATAAGAGCATAAAGATATAACTATAATGTTTAGAAATGAATCTGTCTTTAACGTAACATCAAAAGGAAAAGAGCAAATACAAATCAGATCATTAGTATCCAAGAAGACCTTTTTTTTTTACCTGAAAAAGAACATTAGAGCATTGTCATCTGGTTTCGCAGCCATGTCTGAGCTAATCACCAGCACGTTTGAAGCATCTGAAATGAAAACATGACTGTAACAAAACCGTGCTGCTGAGTTGTGTTGTTTTGACCCTATAAGTATATTCAGAGTCTTACCTCTTGGTAAATCTACTTCCTGGAAGCCCTGGTTTATCAAGTCGTGGCAGAGAGTTGGCAAATGATACTGATCTGCTGTTGCAAAGGCAATGCACTGCATCATATCCTACACGCATAAATACAGCTGAATTAATAACTGAACCAAGACTCGACAGGTAGGAACAGAAATAAACCAAAAGTCAAAGAACCTTGTCCTCATTCATTGAGGGCTGATTGGCTCGTGAAGGCTGCTTTGTGCGTGGTCCTTTGGGGGCCCTTTTTCCAGGTACCGTTGCTGGTTTTAAACTCGATTTTAACACTGACTTCACGATGTTGGCTGAATAAAAACGTGCTGGCACACATGTGCAGTTAGTCGGGATACAGGGGTCAGTTAACAGAGCACTGCAGGGACTTCTAAATAAACTCAAGGCTGGTGGAACATGTCTGATTCGCATGTGTTGCTTGTGAAGGGCAGTCCTTGCAAAGACTCCGGAGTGAGTCCTGGGTCTGGATTCGTACTTGTAGGGCTGGATGCATGTGGAAAAAGTGCTCGAGGCAAGGATGCAAGCTGATCTAAGTTCCGCTGTCCTTTGAGCTCCCCATCTAGACCACATGTTCAGGAGAAACATGTTCCATTTACGGTCGTACAGATGAGCTACAACAACAGAGAACAGGCAATGCAACTTTAGAAAATACGAATAATGACTTCCAACACTGTATTAAATAATCTGGTAATAAAGCATTAAAGACTGCTAACCCATCTACATACACCTATATTGCAAACTGCGCACTTATTGTGAGTCATTTTACACATTCAAAACATGAACCAGAGTTAGCATGTCTGACCTTGCTAACTCTGGTGGCAGTTTTCTGACCAGCACGTTTTAATAAGAACTAAACCGTGACAAGTGCACAAACCAAGCCAGTACAGTCCCATGTCAGTTAAGGAATTGTGAATTCTCTTTTCTGTGTGCACCGTGCAGACAACGTTAGCCTACAGTTAGCTTACCGGCTGCTGAATAAAAACGGCGACACAGTCAGTCACCGTGACGTATCCGAAAACGCCGGTCACGCCACGCTTAACATAAATAAAACACAAACTTATATAAACCCTGCAAATAACTACAGCTGTATGACAAATTGGAAGTCAGACACAGGAGGCGTGTTCGGTGCACGAGTTCTGTTTACTACTAAGGTTTTGGTACTCATTTCCTGCTTGTGATAGAAATAAAAGCCCGGAATTTTGACTGTCAGGTCAAGCTCCGCGAAAACCTGTCCCCCTCCGAATTTCATTCATCCCCTTGTTTCCATTAATTCATGTTTAAATGATGTATCATATGCATTCATCTATGTATGTATGTTTATTATATGAATAGACAGTGTAAGAACAAGGAAGAAGCAACCTGGTGAAGATCGTTGACCTTGAGCCAAAAGGACTCCTGAAAGCCTACACTCAGGGAATAAAAGTCCACTATATAAAGTCCACTCAATGAGTAGACCCTTTCTTTAAGAAATTATTATATAAACATTAAATCATATATAAATGTATAGATGCATTTGAAAATTAAATGAGTTAAATGAATTTAAAGTTAAATTCATTAGTTTCTATATCAATCTTTTTAATCTTATGAGCAAATTTCTGCCTGTAAAAGTAATGAAATTTGTAGCCACAGCGTCCCCTCTGGTTGAGCCTGGTACAGCCTGTGTTTGGGGTTGCCAGGTGATTTTAACAGAAACAGCTTGGTTTGTTACCTTTTCTCCTCTAGGAAGTTATGGAAAACTCTGATGAGGTATGCTTCTCACACAGTTTTTTCTTTTTTCAATTTTCGTTAACAGTTTCAGTGTGTGTGAGCATACATGTAACTATTTCCTGTGATTAATTTAATTAAAAATTTATAAAATATTTGTTAGATTAAAAAAAGAATATTTAAACAATTATTTTAATGTGCAATCTATAGTTTCATGAAAAGCAAAGGTTGAAGATGAGGATCGGTGTTTTGGAGGAGAGCATGAAGTCCTGTGAGCTGGAGAGTAAAGCCGGCAGGGAGACGGTGCTGAGGCTGGAGGCAGAGCTAGACCAAGAGAGGAGAAAGGCTGCCCGAAGCAATGCAGCACTTGAATCTCTCAAATTGGTATTTTCACAACTTAAAACATTTCTACTATTATCTCTGTTTTCTCTCATTTTCATTAAATCAATAATATTGAAATGAGCTCATTCAAAAAAGTATGACAGGCCTTCATCATTTTCAATCTGTTTTGCTCTATAAGTTTTGCACTGTGAGGTGTTTTCTCTTTTAGGAGTTGGATGGCCTGGCGATGGGAAGAAGGAGTGTTGAGGCTGAGAATCAGGCCTGGAGTGAGAGGCTTGAAGCCAGCAGGAGAGTGATTGAGGCAGCCAGAAGAGAGTCCTGCTGTTTAGAAAAACAAGTGGAGGAGTTTCAGAAAAAGTCCCACGCATCTGAGGGGAAACTTCAGGTGTTCCTGGAAAAGCTGGCCACCGTGCTAAAGGGACGTCCTGAGGATGCCATCCCCCCCACAGAGACAGACGTTGTAAATAAAGTGGATAACATCTGCAACAAGGTAAGGAGTCAGAGAGAAGGTCTCTGGTAGAGCTGTGGAATGTCACATTTTCATGCAGTGCTTTCAATAATTTATGACACCAGGCCATTTCAGCTTGCACTGTTATGAAATGTGGTCTTATTCATCAATAGGAAATGAAATGTTACAATATTTTAATGTGAGTTTGTTTTCATTTTAACTGGTTTACTTAATGAAATTACATTAATTTCAGTTTGGGTACTTATGATAAGTAAGTGTAAATTCTATAAATTAAGTAACAACCACTGTTATCAGTCAATTACACAAATTTGGAGTACAAAGTAGTTTACGATGAAAAAAATTTGCTTACAAGAAAAGATTGCAAAAGTAAATCAGTACAATCTAGCTCTTTACTTCAATGGGTTAGGTTCTTTTATACAAAAGATCTATGCCTTTTTCCAAAGTGATTTTGTTCTGTATCCATTTTCTTTTACTGCTCTGACTCTGACTGCAGGTGGTATCGGCAATGGAGACACGACTGTGTCGTGTCTCTGAGGAGTTGAAAGTGCAGACAGAGCTCCAACGCAGCACACTGCAGAGGGCTCTGCTTGCAGAGCAGCAAGTCCAGGACCTGAGGGAGAGGCTGCACAGGGTAGAGACCGAGCTCCTAACAGCAGACAAGCTTATTGATGAGCAGGGACACAATAAACAGCATGTGAGTCATAGATGCAGGTGAAAATAGTTACGTGGACTTAATCATCACTTGTGCATTTACATCAGTGACCGTCCCTTCTAAACAGTATGAAGAGTTCCTGGAGCAGCTGTCTGAGGCGATGAAGCTGGAAAATATTGCTGTTGATCTCGGGATTGACATGAGGTTAAATCTCATCCTATCTCGTGCAGAACAACTTGTCAAACAAGAGGCAGCTGCTTTGATGGAAAGCAAAAGTCTGGCATACAGCTTACAGAGAAAGGTATACCTTCTGAAAGAGTTACATGAGGGGAATCATCACTGGAAGTTTCATGTTAGATAAGTCTCACACTTGTAAAAGAATACAGGGAGAGATCATGAAAATGCCCCCTTTAATTTTAGAAATGACATTTTTTCACCCTTAATTCAAAATCTGATGATTCATTAAAGGTTAAATCACAAAAGGACCAACTAGACAGTAAAGGACTCCACATCCAGATACTGAGGAAGAAGGTTTCACAGCTGGATGAGGAGAATAGAACTCGATCAGCAGTTGAACGAGAAGATGCGTGTGCCGAGGCCAGAAGACTCCAGAAAAAGCTGGTTCATCTCCAAGGAGAGCTGAAAGCCACCAAGCTGACCAACAGCGAGCTCAAGGCCCAGCTCTCCCACAACAACGAACTCAAGGTAGAGGGGAGAAGGGTTTTGATCCAAAAGGAGTCAAGACGCATTTTCACTGCATAATGCAACATTTGGTCTGCCAATTTATAGGTGGAAAAATGGAAAAGAATGCTGTAATGATAAATTATATTAATCAACTTAATCATGAAAGAAAAAATGTACATAATCAAGGTTCAGATTTTTTGTAAGCAGCCCGTCAACATCAATAAACTAATTTTTGTTTTACTGAGCACAACCACCCATTTAGATTTGTGCTCAACATGCCAAGGTAAAAGTCATGGAACAGAGTCAGACCATGCAGGAGAAGAAACAGAAGTTGGCTCAGCTGGTGGATGGGAAGGTAAAAGCGGAGAAGAAACTGTGCACAGTGAGCTTACACCTGCAGAGCCCAGAGAGGAGGACCAGAGATGACCAAAAAACAACTCACCACGCTCGCATAGAGCCTGGCTCAGCTGTCTGAGAGTCACAGGGAGGTGAGGCCGCAACACGTTTAGAAGACGTGTTTGCAGTAAACTTTCTTATCATTTCTTATCATCTGAATAGAAAAGTAGATGAAAGTTTATTGCCAGATTATTGTTCTTTTTTTTCTTTCATTCAGCTCATCATTTAATTATGTTCTTTGCCTCTCAAGAATGTCACAAGACACATTAGAAAGCTTTGGGAGAAAGTGAATGATCTTTATGTTTAGAAATCTTTCTCAGATTGGTGTCAGAAAAGAATTAACAAGAACAGCTCATATCGGCCTCAGTTGAGGGATTTGAATTTCAGAGATTTTAAAGATAGCTGTTATGCATGTCATCGAAAACATTCAACAGACAGAAACAAACTTAATCTGAATTTTCTTTCCAATGGTTCAGTTGGTGGACTCCTGGATGGTGGTTTGACTTTTCCAAATCTTGAAATCATCAAATCACTTGAGACCGTTCTTCACAATCATCATCACCACCACCTTCATCATCATGTTAACATGCCCTGGCCCTGGCCCTCCTACTCACCAGAGGGTTGATCTTCCACAGATCCAGGTCTTTCCTGACAGTCAGCTTTCCATAAGTGTTTTACTTCCAGCTCTGTGTCCCAGCGATGCAGTCAATTTAAGTGAAACTCTTTGCTTTTATGATAAATTCCCCTTCAGATGTTGAAGAAAACTGGTATAATCATTTACCACTCAAAAACATATTAGAATACACTTTCTATGGTATAAAATAGGCAAAGCGCAGGTTTTGTATTTGTTTTTTCTTCAATATAAGAACACAGCTCATAAGTGATTCACAGATCAAAAACTAAAAATGAAAAGACAAATATCAAAATGGGGATTTGGCATTCATTGTTTCTCATGGTCACATATACATACATTTCTCATTATTCTTTGCATTATTTACAGATGTTAAATAACTCTGGACTGTTATTCATTTCATACTCAACTGACAGTCATACAAAATATACAATAGCTCTTCATGTCCTTTCAATCTTGAAGACATTAGATCATTTTTAAAAATAATCAAGCAGAATGTATAAAGACCATGGATGACTCATGTAAGGGGTTAACATCTTGGACTGTGTTTGATATTAAACCACTTGACTTAGCTTACATAAAATCGATGTTATGTAAATAAAATTTAATGGGATATAAGTGAATAAAAGCATAGATTAAACCACATGCCAAAATACAAGTAAAAAAATAATTGCAATGTTAGTTGTATTAAATGTTTTCTATTTGTTGTTTAAGCAGATTAACAAGCTATATTTCCGCATTTACTTTGGTGCTGTCCACGGACAGTTCTCTTCAGAAAAATACAAGCAATGTCAACAGTGGGCTAAATCCACTGTTTTTTCCTTAAGGTAACACCAAAAATACTTAATTGACACAGCAATACACAGAGTAACATAGTGAGAGCCTTGATCATGTGCGCTACGCAAAGATATTAACTGTAGATGGCAGCTGACTTTCTGCAGTACAAATGGATGAAGTTTTTGCTCCCAACATGATTTGATTGTGAGAATATCAATTTGATTCCCGTTTAAAATTCAAAGATTCCATAAAATGCTGACACTCAATGTTCGTTAAGCTCACCTACACGGGAGGTGGTCCGTTCGTGTAGCTGAGCATTGGGTAGAAGGAGTGAGCAAAATTGTTGGACTGAACACAGTAGTCCTCCTCTGACAGTGGCAGCAGGAAGGCAAAGACCACCAACAGCAGCAGAAGGAGCTGGAAAGGCAGGGCGACCCAGAAGACGCGCCACAGAAACGAGGACCTTCGGGCCCTTGGCGTTTCTGGATCAGAAGGGAAGGAAGCGGATCCAGCGTCGCTGCGAGACCTGCTCACACACACACACACACACACGCATTCACAGAGCACAGACTGAGCTTTAGTTCCTAACTTCAGCCATCATGACAGTAAATCCCTCTCTCATCTATCAAGCTACTCTCACAACATTATGATCTAATTAAACCCCCCACATTAAACAAGCCACTACTTTTCTTCGCAACGAAAATGAACTCTGCAAAAATTATGCACAAATCACCTTTGTATAATCAACTGAACAAACTCATAATTGTCCTAATTCAACAATCTTCTCTTCATATGTGTAATTGTTTAGGTGTGTTGCCTATTTCAATCCAAATAAGATTTCAGTTCAGCAACAGAACTGTATGGCCGTGCTTCAATGCAAGCTCAATGCTGTGCTTGAAGACCTTACAAATACATTGGAAAATGACATCAGGGCAATGTGTAACATTAAGATCCACATGCTGACAGAGAGGGGGTGGATAAACATTAACAATAACAGTCACAAATCGGTATTCAAGGCAGACAAACTGCAGTGCAGCACCAGACAAGTACATTTAAAGTGTGCTTGCATTCTTTCGCAGAGTAAGAAAAGACACAAGGCATGCTGCAATTATCAGATGAATATTGAAATTTCACAGTTTCACTGATAGATTTGAAAGTTTATGTCCTGCTGAAAAATGCAAAGCATGTCGACGCAAGAAGAGCACAGCAATTAGAAACAGCTACTATCAGGTAAGGTTAAGGTTAAACAGCCACACTTTGGAAAGTAAGTGCTTAGGTAAGAATACTTATTCTCTTTGTTCATAAGCGTTAGATGATTATTCTTAAGAAATGCACATATATAGCCTGGAAGCACCTTCATTTAATACTAAATCAAAATATCAGGGAGCCCTTCAAGTTGTAAGCAGACTTTAAACATTACCTGTACAAAGCTGAATAATTTTTTCAACCATTCCATTGAATGTATCAAACTTAAGCATGAAGTGTTTTCTATAAACTCAAAGGTTTGAGAATATACTCAGCTAAAAACGTTGATCACCTTCTGACCTCCCAAAAAGTAGTGCCCAAGTACTTATTACCCTAATTGTTTTCATTTACAGACATACGTATGAAGGGTTTTGTAGTGGACATGGTCCCTTAACATACTCGTTAAAAAACGGTTGGCAAATTTCAGATTTCCATTCAAATTGTTGTGACCCAAACAGCCCCTTTATACGATTTCACAAATGAAAACCCGAGGGGCAGAAATGCCATATGACAAACTTGTGGGGGTGAAGGGAGTGGATAATCGGTGAGATAGCAGCAGCAGAGAAGAAAAGATGTCGAACACATGACAGAGTAATAGCGCGTGAGAGAAAGGGAAACTGCAGCCTTTGCATTGTTCATTGCAGACATTTACTGGCTCGGCACTTTAAGAGAAAGAGGGAGTGTGCAGTGTGTGCTCAGCATCAGCAAGTGCTGTTAGATGTAGAAACATATTTGTGTTAAAAACAAGAAACGCCCTCCGGTTGTTAAGCGCAATATCAAGCAGCCAAAAACACTGACGGATAGAAGGCCTTGCACTATTCCTTGTGACACTTTTATCAAGGATGTGTGGTCTGCCACTCACCTCAACACCTAGCCTACACAGAATGTCTACACAAACAGAAGATGATGGAATTCACTATCATGAGTTGCTAAACTGGCAAAAGAAATATAAACTGAAATTGAGAATGTTTTTTTTTAACATATGTATTGAAAGAGTATGAGCGGTTCGTAGTCTTTCAGTTATCAGTGCTGAGTTCCATTATCTTCTGGGTGTGCTAGAAACCAACAGAAAGGTACCTGTGGTGTGGACTGCTCACAGACGTTCCAGGCTGTGACAGACTACATTTGCCCCGTTGCTGTTTGCAATGAACAGGGGAAGGGGTAAAAGAAAGAAAGTATGTTTCAGTCCAGGCAAATCAATACAAAGCTACTGATGAAAACCAAAAATGGAAGAAGAGCTGACACAAAATCAGATGTGAGTGACAGATTTTGTAACCCACAGTGATGAGGAATCTGGGTTTTCAAAGTGTATGACTGCTTTGAATTGCTTCAACTCATGAGTGCAAGTGATTTCAGATAGAAAGCCACAAATCTGGCAATGTGATGCATGACTCTGGTAACAATAACATTGAATGACAAACAATATAAGCAGTGACATGCTTATTTGGACTGATTGTCTGATAAATAATGAGAAAATGCTGCTGTAACATTTGTACTGCAGACAATATCAAATAAATCTCATTTGATGTTGGATAAATCATAAGCTGATACAGCTGTTCCACTATGGCCACTGTTCCCAAGAAAAACACTGGAGGGCAAAAAAAGAGAGGAAAATCAAGGAGGAAACTACAGGGAAATCTCTGGTAGAGGAAAGTTTCCAGCTTCAAAATACCATACCAAAAACAGGAAAGAGTTGAAAAAAAACTGCCAAGAATAAGGCAGGACACATTTAAAATAGAAAAGAAAGCAAAGAAAAGTGAAACATTCCCTTGTATCTTAGGGAATAAATTACATGCAGGAAGAATAAAAGGCTGAAAAAAATCAAGATGGGTAAAAAGTGAATGGTAGAGTGTGAAGGTGTTAAAAGATATGAGGAGAGGTCTTAAGACAGAAGGGAAGGGGGGCTGCTTTTCCATGGGGTTCTTGGGGGACATTGTTTTTTGAATTTGAGAGGTCACCAAGCTCCTGCTTCTTAAAGGACTGCATGAACAGGTAGGGTAAACATTACCGGCCGTTGTCGACTTGGTGTACTTCTTCCTGATACAGGACTGACCGAACCAGATGTGTCCAGCTCATCGGCAGATGACCAAGAAGATAGATCCTGATGTTGAAAAAACGTGTAAAAAGAAATGTGAGAAAAGATGCACAAGATCAGACATTAGGACTGAAAACGAGTTTGAGCCCTAAACCTGACTGCTGGAAATACGCTTTATTGTAAGGGTGTGCTTTCTATGAGGGCAAAGTCAGGAAACAGTGAAACAGATTTTGAGAGGAGCTTATTATTTCCGATCATTTTCACACAAACTCACACGAGTTTCAACTTAAAGAAATCCTGACATGAGATAAATATGAAGAAGTTTAAAAACACTCTAAAACTATAGTAGATAGGAAAATCAGGTCCTTGCATGTCCACACTGGACAGACACACAACAGACTGAGGCTCTACCTGTTGGCTGCTTGTAATGTCCAGAATCTTAGCCAGCTCTCTGAGATCTCGGGTTACTTCTTTCAGCAGCAGTTTGAGGCGGTTCCCGATGACGTGAACTTTCTCCTTGGCTTCTAGACAGTCGCTCCCCTGAGAGTTGACCAGCAACTGGAGGGACATGTCTTGTAGGGAGGCAACTTTAAGCTGAGAGTCCAGTAGCTCCTGTCGAATTTGCTGTAAAAAATTAACATTTAAAAAAATCAAATAACAAGGCATACATAGAAAAAAAGGAAAGAGCAATAAGATAAGTTTTGATGTTTATTTATTGTTACATAAATGTATCTGAGAACAGGAATCACATTGAAAATATCTTTTTTTTTTAACAGTGTTATAATGTCCAAAGATAATAATAATTATTAATGGGAAGTTACCGTAAGTGTCTTATGATGATCATGAAGAGTGTCACTGTCCTTGATTGGGTCAATGGGAACCACCTCATTCCTCCGGCGATCAATGTTTTCCAACCAAAGCAGTAGGCCATGACACATTTCATGAAAATCCTTTTGTATGGGAATGTAAAGATTCAATTACTGCATATGTAACCCCGAAATTATAAGACTATAAGAAGTCCAGTTTTATAATAATGACCGCTACTCACTTGGCATTGCATGAGAGCTTCCTGTAATGATGACCTCCACTCTTCCAATGAGCTGCCTATCTTATCCCAGTGATTGTTCATGTCCTTCAGTTTGACTTGTAGCTCTTGTGACTCAGCTGATTCTGACTGCAGAAACTCTGCACTGCACAAGTTGATGGAAAGCACGATAGCTTTGCGCTTGTCATAAGCCTTTTGCAGCTCCTGTGGACAAGCACAGCCATTTTTAAATGAAGAAAATCAAGAGCCAATGACAACTCAGAGTGATGAATGAACAAAGGTACCAAGTTTCGATGCAAAGAGTTTGAAAACTTGAAATAATTGATGCATGAGTCTAAAATCCATTGGAAATTAACTTAATAATTGATGTCAGGGATTGAGGAGGAACTGGACATTAATGTAATCCTGATATTTGAGGCTTTAATAATTATACACTGAAAAATAGAAAATACTGCATAAAAGAATAAAAGAATATGTATCTATACATCAACATAAATATATAAGCCCAAACAGCATTAGAATTTTTTTTAACATAGTATTTTACTTTGAAATGTTTGACTTTGGCCAGAACCACACCATAAATTATTTTTCTTTTCGGAAACACGTTTTACGTTACCTTGAGCTTTTTGATGCGAAGTTCAATTGTTTGGATGTCTGTGGTAACATCCAGCCTTCGCTGCTGCTCCAGCTCTTCTTCTGTCTCAACCAGCCAAGTACAAATTTTGTTCAGGTCAGAGTTCAGCTGTTGCCACTGTTGCTGGTTCTGCTTTGTCCGCATCTCTTTACTAAGATCTTGAGCTTGCAGGAGCTCCCAGCGCTCAATCACACCTAAATTGAAGAAAAAAGGCTTAGTTGAAGAAAAGGAAGTTCATTTGAAAATTGATCAAATTTGCTTTGGTTAAAACTTGCATTATTGGTTCGTGTAAATCACAGATGGGACTAAAAGAGTGATTTGGACAGAAAAATATGATGTGCAGCAAAGTGTAGAAAGAGGACCAAATACTGTGTGTTTTGTCGACTGAAGTGTCTCAGATTTTTCAAAGAAATCAACAATAAAACAATTGACTTGATGTATGTAGTATCTATAGCATATATACATGCAGAACAAGATTTTGGTGTGGCTATTACCAGATGTCTGGGACTCTGAGCTACTGGGATCTGCCAGTCCAGATATTGTATCCTCTTCCTCTTTCAGCTCAGAGCCCATTCTCCTCATCGTGTCAATGCTGCCACGGCACTCGCCCATCAATCGCATCTACAGAATGTGATGTTGTTAGGTTACTACCAGCCGATTGTCAAAAGATAAAAGTACCACAAATAGCAGTCAATATAGAAAAATGATAAGAGTCCAATCGTTATACATACTCAATGTGTATAAAATGTTAACAACAGCATTTAGCTGTAAAAGTCACACATACGTAGCCCATATATGATGCATCCAGCTCTGTGGATGTGGGAGTGCGGCTTCGACTGCTGTCAGTTTGTTGCAGGTGAAAGCGGCTGGCGTCAAGAGGATGACTGTGAGAATCTGCTGAGGTAGCCTCCCCTGTTGAAACGACATTAACCGATCATCTTTAGGAAGTAGAATAAACACTCAGACTCGTTTAAAATATAATCAACAAACCAAGAGAAGGTAAAAGGTGCCCTCTTTAGACAGAGAAACATAAAATGAGGAGTGCAAAACATGACTGGTGAGGAGTGCAGATTGGTTCAAACCACGTGTGCCATGGTATCTTCCAGTTTTAAGCCATAGTGTGCCTGTCAGGGCTGCATCAGCAAGGCCTCCTTCATTCGAAATGAATGAGAAGTCCAACTTCGATTTCACTGTCTCTATCAAAACTGATTATCAAAACCCAAACAAATCTGCAATCCCTAATTAAGTATCTAATTAGGAGTAAAGATTTGATCGCAGTAACAAAACACATGCTGAAACAAATATACACATCAAAATAATCCAAAGAGGTTAGCTACACAGCACGCTGGAGGTCAAACAAAAGAAAGCAGTTAGAAAGAAGGTTAGGCTGAATTCCATTTCTGTTCCACTGAGTTATAGCCCAAAGAAAAAACATTAAATCAAGAGAAAAATGGAATTGATCCTATCCCCCAGTGTTAGGAAGTGTTGCTGTTGGTTACAGTCCCTCCAAAGTGCACACACAAGCGATGAAATCAACACAAATCAACCAAACCAGCGAAAAGGCTAATATGTGGTATAACTAGAGGGTTATTTTTGGCCCGAAGACGTGATATGCTGGGGTCTGCTGTTGCCTACCAGTGGAGGATCTCAGTGTTTGTTCTGTAAGTTTAACATAGGCCTCAGGGCTCTCTGGAATCATTACATCTGGAAGAAACATTGTACAGTACAAACATTTAGAAATGGGCTTAAAACTAACACTGTTGCTAATTGAAAAGATTAAGCTGGAATGCATAGACGTTATCTATAATGCATCTACTGATGCAGCTTTCTGTGGATGGAGGTTGCTGTGCAGTTGTAATTTGTGAAAGGAAAACATTTAATTGGTCTAAATCGATCCGTTTTTAGGCCAGTGCTGTGCATTGTTTTCTTCTTGAAAAATGATTACCGTATATTTATTTTGGTTTAACCAATTTTCTTCCCTTGTTTTCATTAAATGTTGTCCTTGTAGGGATAAAACTGTATTTTTTTTTAGCTAAAGTAAGATAGGATAACCCTAGTAACTGAGATTGGGTTCAAATGTTTTCCTATACATCATCAATAATCACCCAGGACTCAGTGGTGTAAATGAACTTTTAATTAAATTGCCATTGTTGAAAATGAGTGCTTGAAATTATGATCAAATCTCAGGCTTCAGCAGAGGAATGCACACATATAGGACCTTACCTGATAAGCCTGAGACAGGGCGCTGGAGGAAGTCTGACTCCTCACTCTGCTGCTCTCTGAGGGCCCTGCTGGCGGTCTCAAGCCCCCGGCTCAGGTCATAGTCATGGTCCCACTCCAGTGGAATGGAGTCCACACTGGCAGGCGTGTCCCTTCCAGAGCGCTCTGTCCGAAGCTGAGCTGCAAGAGAGGCTGAGCGACCAGAGGAGGGCAGAGGTGACAGAAAGCCATCCCCTAAACGTTCAGTCCATGGAAGGCTGGACAAATCACCGGGCTCATCCAGTTCAAGTTCTCGATCTGACAGTGACACCTCAGTATCATCATCTGCAAGCTAAAGAACATAAAAGAAAACAAGATTTAGACCCAAGCACAAATAGAGTATTTTTCATAATGAAAAAATACATTTTTAGATCAGTGATCTTACTGGAAGGCGAATTAGTTTTTTGTAGTAGCGCTCGACTCGGCCAAAGACCTCCTGACAGTAACGTTGCAGCTCCTCCAGCTCCTCCTCTATAACGGCAGCATCCAAAGGCTCACACTTCTCTATAAGTGCCTCCCCCTGATGGAAGATGTTCTCAATCTTGGCTGTTGTCAGAGAAATTTCCTGCTGAAATGACTGCGGGATAACATGAAAAGACATTTTAATGATTAACAAAAAGTTCAAATTTAGAAATATGCATCTTTCAGATAAAAAATTTCACAAATTTAGTGACTGGAATCATGATAGTGGTGCTTAGATATGAAACGGTCACTTTGGGGACAAAAGGTATGTTATTGTGACCACATGGGGGGTAAAAACTTGTGTAAAACTTACCCTGAGTTGTTTGATCTTGGCTTGAATGTCACACTCAGAAAAGTGCTCGATGTTGGTAAGCTGAAGGTCCATCTCTGTCAGCCAAACCAAAATTCCATCTCTGGCTGTTTCAAACTCCTCTCTCTGGCTAATAAAGTGCTGCATGTTTAAACAAAGATGTAATTAGTAGAATGCCCAACAAAAAAAATAAACGCACTATCAAAAGGAAATATTTTTGGAATGAATATGCCTTCTATAAATTACTCATGAAATTTCCATTTCTGTAAGTCAACACAAATTGTTCAGGTGAAAACAAAGAGTGAAACAACACTCCTGAAATGTGTCATTTATATTAAAAAGTGGCTTTAAACTGAATAACTGTATAATGAATGTAACAGTAGAAGGTATATTTTGCCTTGAGTCTGCGAAGAATGGAAGCCACCCTTTTCTGCAGGTTGTCCCATCGTTGATTAGCATCATGGGCCATATCCCTCAGATGACAGGAAGAGTCTGTGCGGTTCTCTCTGGCCAGGCGGCGGTATTGCTTGTTGATCAACTCTAGCTGAGTCAGGCTTTCGTGAACTTGTCTTTGAAAGGCCTACAGAAACATATCAATACATTTTTCTATATATTCTCTTAAATGTTAAATGGGTCATTCACTTTATCTGTATATAAAAAGAAAAGCTTTTTTTATTATCAATAAATATGTCTTTTTATTAACATTTTCACTATTAAAGTTAAAATGTCATTAACAGACACTTACTGTTCTGGTGGGTCAAGAAACCATCAGTTTATGGTCTCTTCTCAGAGACCATAAACTCACGCACAATGGAACAAAAGAAAACATAAAAATGCTAAAAGCATTTAGCTTTTTATGGTCTGCAAGGTCGTTGTTCTGCAGGCAGTAGTGCACCCCAATAACTTCAGAGGTTTTTCTGCTTCGGTAATATTTACTTACTATTTAGCTATCCCAACCTTTTTGAGATGCAACACAGGAATCACATTCAAGATGAAACTGTCATATATCAACCTCATAAGTGTTTTTCCGACAACGTTTTTGCACATAGAATTATAGTTTACACAATAAACTGTAATACCTCAAATTTCTTCAGTTCCTCCTTGGCCACTGTGTACAAGACACCAGAGGAGTTTGGCAGAGCAGCCGTCATCTCTGAAGTGGCCAGCCACTCCTCAAAGCGTGCAAAGTCCTCTAGAAATTTCTGCCATAAACGCCATGTTTCTTCAATCCTGCAAAAAGGAATCATGACAGAGATATTTCTTTAATTAGCAAAATTGTGTCACTTGGTTTGAATCCATACTTGTCTTTTATGTTAGAAGACAAAGAAAAAGTGTCCTTGTGTTCTAACACACTGACTGGCTGACTTACTTTAGTCTCCTCTCCATTGACAAGGCACAGATGCTCCTCCAGCGGCGATCAAGGCTTCGAGTTGCTTGCTGGATGGAGTCGCACTCTGCATCGGTGGTGCAGGCATCACAGTCATGCAGGAGCACCTCACATAAATTCAGCACAGAGGCCACTCCTGTGCTGTGCTTCTCTATATCTTGCTGAAGCTCCTGAAAAGAGAGAATAGTATGAACTGAAATGGTTGCCAAGTTTAAAATAATCACTTATTTTAATTGGAAAATTTTGATAACGAATCCTAACAGTGCATATTGCACCATAATAGTTGAAATCAGATTATGGCTTCTTGCACAAATATTGTAAAAATACACAACGCTACCTTCAGGTTTTCAAATATTTAAATGTAACAAGTTTAAAGGAGGCCTGTTGGAATTCTTCTTTGTAAGGTGCTGCAAGTTGGTCTTTGGAATAACTGCAGTTTAGTTGTTTCATCAAAACAATAACTTAAATGAGACTTAAATGAGACAACAACTTTGAAGTTGAAGGATACTTTAAACTAGGAACATTTGTATATTCATATTAACACTGTTTAACACTGTGAAGATAAAAGGCTGTAAACAGCTGCAAACAGGAAATGTTACAGCAACCTGAATAAGATCCATAATACGATGTATATTCATTTAAGCACTATAAAGTAAATTACGGCACCTGTTGCAGATCAAGCTTCCTCTGAATCTCCTGAGGGTCACAGGCGTCATAAGCAATCGGTTTGGACAGCTCAGCTTCAATGTGGGCGAGCCAGGTGCGCAGGCTGCTCATATTTTTATCCAGCTGTTGCACTGCTACCAGGGTTTCTCTCAACTTCTTCACTCTGTTAACAAAATGTGTCCGTATATTTAAGAAAAAAAAAACTCAGGATGGAGATACAGTAAAGCAAACTTGCTACAAAAAGCTATGAGGGTGCTTTTCTTTACCTAGCTCCAATAAGGTCCAGGAGATGCTGCCAGCGGTCGCTCACTTTATTGAGTTTTTGTTCAATCTCATTTGCTTTGCTCTGGTGACTGGCCCTCGCCAGGCGCTCTCCCAGCTGATTCAACTGCTGCTTGTTCTCCTCTGCCACTGTGATCTCTTCTTGGTAGTCCTGAGAAAGAATGTTGAACAAATAGACAATTAAAAAAAACACCCGCAGACTACAGACTGCAATTATAAAGTAATAATAAAACAACCAGTTAGGATACAATAAATGCACAAATATAAAAATATTTTTGTGCTCATATTGCACTGAAGTATGCATAAGCAGCTCAATGTTAGTAGCACTTTATGCACTCAGGAAATGTTTGACAAGTCCATGTTTTCATTTACCTTGTGGAGCTTCTCTATCATCTCCTCAATGCTAATGTCTCCATTCTGGGACACCTTGCTTTCCATGGTGGTGAGCCACTCGCAGAGTTCCTTGTACTTCTCACTGAATACAGTCCATTCATTCAGTTTCTCGTTCACCTGCTGCCTGCGCAGAGACAGCTGCAGATGCAAAGTGCAATATAAGCTTAATCGCTGTGTAAATTGGATGAGAACCATCCATAAAAATGTGATGAGTTAAAAAGAATATTCTAAAAAGTCTACAAAGACTGCAGTGCTAAAGAGATTACTGAAGCACGACTCTTTCATTCTTGCACAGTGTCTGCTGCTCTGTTTCCTGTGTGAGTACTTTATCAACTGCACACAGGATGCAGCTCTGAAAAAAAAAAACACCTTGAGGTTTCAGAAATGATTTGATGTCTGACTTTGAATATATTCTGTCTACATACTAAAGTAACCATTATATGCAGCAAAGTAAACTATTAAGATCTGATGTGAAATGGTGCATTGAGTTACATGTCATTAGTTACTACTTTTTAAAAATTAATAATAATGAAAAAAAAACAATGCTAAATACTATATGAGCATTACACTCTTTAATCAGAATTATTAGCAGATGTAGTAATGTTCACTGACAAGCATCACAAGAGATTAATAACAATTGGCATATGTTTGAGAAAACCATCTAGTATTTCAAGGGACTGAAGAGAAAAGTGTGTAAGACCCACACAATTTTTGGTGTTTAAAAATGAGAGATAAATAGTAAATGGTATTTAGGTATTTGTAAGATGGTCATATAGTTTGCTTTGAATGCAAGTCATTGATGCAAAAAAAGGCCAAGAGAAGGTTTTTAAGATTGGTCCTCCCTCATCACCTCCGCTCTTGACCTTCCTCTCTGTCCAACTCTATGGCAGCCCTGAGTGGCTTCTCTCTTCTAGGTAATATATACGATGGCCAACAGTAAGTACTGGCTACTTTGGTACTTACAGCTGGACAAACAAAGATGCTACATTTTTGGTGGTTCTGAGTGTATGAAACTGCTTATATCCATACTCCAAAATAAACTGTCAGATTTGGTGAAAGAGAAAACTTGAGTTCAAATGACTGAGAGGGCAGGGGCATGCTGAATCGTGACAATACTACTGATAAAAACAATCCCTAATTCGAAAAGCTTCGAATTCGAAATTAAACATTGAACATTGAATTAAATATTTTCTCATGGACATGATGTAAATGAAAATGGATTGAAAAGCTAACGCTGAGGGCTAGACAAAGCATATTTAAGGATTCGATATGAAGATGTTGTTCCTAAAAAACTATACCTGGTGGCAGATTTCTTCCCACTGTCGATGAAGAAGTTCAATACGTTCCTGAAGAACAGAAAGGTCTTCAGCGCTGATATGGCAAGAAAGTGACTCTCTCAGTAAAGTCAGATGGGCCAGATCTCCACTCCAGCCTTCAAATGTGTTCTCCATATCCTGTTGTAATAAACGTTAATATCAAAACATTGTTTAATTTATGTTAACAGACCATTCTTTTTTCACCATGCCTTGTTACCCAGACAAACCAGCTCAACACTTTTTCTCAACAGTCTTTACATCAAGGTCCCCAATATAAATGTGACTTTTAACTTTTGCTAAAGTGTTGCATTCAGTCTTAATTCAATGAGTGAAAACTTTCCCACTGATACCTTGCAGCGCATCTGTTCAACTTGCAGGTCCTCATGGTGATCAGGGAGAGGCTGAGAGAGCTGCCGTTTGAAGGCTCGCAATTTTTCCAGTGATCCACCAATCCCTTTCTCACACCTCTCCCAATCCTATATGTAAACATATATGTTAAAACAGATATAGTTCACAATCAAGCTAATTTAATCTTAAACTGACTTACTGGGCTATCAATATTGAATAAAAAAAAATCTTAAAAACAAAGCCCATTATTTTCAGGTTCTCTGAGTTTGGCCACGCCCAATAAGCTGCTGGCACTTTTTTATTTACTGTACCTTTAATAATGTGGTGAGCTCTTTCTTTTGTTCTTCCAGGCACATATTGGCATGTTTCCATCGCTCCTGGATATCAGTCAGTTCAGATTGGAGGACTACCTCCGCCTGGCTGTCAGCTGAAAGGAGCAGTTGCCTTCCTGCTTCAACTGTCAAAATGTAGCTGCCCTGTTGACGCTGCAGCACCTTTTCCTTAAGCTGATAAAAAAAAACATTTTTTTTTTTTTACAGAGAATATATATATATATATATGTATGAATTACGATGGCAGATGATGTGGTTGTTTATTACATTGGACTGCTATAGCTGCTAATTTACCTGAACATCATCCAGCATGGAGCGAGCTTGCTGCAGCGGAACTGTACTGCCTCGCTGCAGAACCTCTGTGGGATGGGAGACTTCTACGAGCCATTTGCGCAGCTTCTCCCCCATTTCCCTGTAGCGCTGCCACTGGCGGATCAGGCCATCAATGATGCCCCGCCTCTGTTGAGCACGTCGCACGACTCCCTGCCACTGGTTACTCAGCAGAGCCAGCTTCATGTTGAATTCATCTCTGCAGGAGATTATATTGTATTACTTATTACTTACAAAGAAAAACTCATAATAGAGTTTGGGGGAAACAAAGATCAATGGATTCACAAGGTCTATAAATCTTATAAGTTTGTATCAATCAGCACAAAAGACCAAAACATTCCTCTGATGAAAAAGGCTCCAGAAGGATTGTTACTATGTATTTATAAAAACCAATAAAACATATCAGTAGTGGAGAGGGTTTTTTTTTACCTGTCATCTACCTGACCCTGCTCTAACATCCTCTGTCCATCACTGATGATAGAGTGGAGGATTTGCTGGCGACTGAACATCTCAGCTTGGAATAGCTGCAAAACAAAACTGATGATTAACTGATTAATTCAGAAGCTACTGATTCATCATGTTTTTAATTGATTAGGCTCTGACCTCATGGGCTTTTTGTTGCTCCATCAAACTCTGGTAGTTCCCAGAAATTTCAACTGCCAGGTTCTCCTCTGTTTGGACCAAAAACTCCATCCATGTTTCACACTTTTCAAGGAAGGTTTGCTGCTGCAGCAGGAACGACTGAAGTTTGCTGCAAGTACAGAAACTAGTAAATAAAATATGCTTCTGCAAGGCAGTCAAGAGGGCATATTCACCACTTTCAGGGGATTATTGTGTTTTTTCTTCAATTGGTAAGTCTTACCTGAATCTCTCTGTTGTCTGTGCTGAGGCTGTCGACCAGCTTCTATTCAGACTCTGCATGCGCTTAATCTCTGAATCGTTAAGAGGGAGCCGATAACCAAGCTCATTAAGACGCTCTAATTCAGGTGCCATACCGCTGAACTTCAGCATAAGTTTCTGTAAAAGGGTACAAAAAATGGTTAGATTTCTCGTTTTGAATCTGGGGGTTGTTTGTTTGAGCAACTGAAGGAAGGAAAAGCACAACCTTAAGGTCATCCATACGGTCTTGGATAACTGTCAGGTCAGTGCAGCCATTGGGATCTTGGGCCCTCAGAGCCTCCTCAGCTTCGACTATCCAGCAACCCAGTAATTTCAACTGTTCAGTAAAGGTTTCATAGTCTTGAACTCCAGTCTGGTACAAAGGGAGCAGAGATGTCCGAAGTTCATTATTCTGATTGGTTGACTGATCAAAGCCAAGACAATACATGCAATAGTTCTTTTTCTTCTACCTGCAGGGTGGTGAGCTGTCTGTTAAGTGCCTGTTCCACCAAAGCCAGCCGCTGGCTTAGAGAAAGATGATCTGACTGGATAGCAGACGCCGCTGATGTGTCCACTTGCTGTTTTAGTTGCTCTCCCAATTCTTGGAGAATCTGAAGCGAGGCCTGCACAGGAGATTGGGACCGCAGCAACTCCTGGGGCAAAGGGCGAATAAAATCAGTACCCGTACTGTATTCTCTATCCTTTCATTCGAATACTACGTGGGCAAAGGGAATCATGTATTGTATGAGTTTCGAGGGACAGGTGGGAATATTTTCTCTTTTTCTGCACCAAGGGTAAAACAGAGCTGCAAAACTAGTTTGAGCAGCATCTCACTCACACTGCATTCTTGGATCCATTTGGACACTTCTTCATCAGCTATGTCCTTGCTGCAGGTGTTTTTAAGAAGCTGGTCTGCCTTTTCCTCCTGCAGCTGGATGCTACAACAGCTTCCTTCGTAAAGCTCTTTGTAGCGCTGCCACAGCTGAAGCAGGGCTTTGCTGCTTCTGAGACGCTCTGCAATCTCCTCCAGTAAGCCAGTCCATCTAAGTGATATGTTTATCAATATTCATATTCTTAGTACAAAATGTCTAGATCTGCATGTGGAATGTTAAAGAAGGATTCTATGATTTGAAAGAAAGTCAGATAAGGCAACAGAATATTTAATATCACCTTGCGTTGACATCCTTAAGGGCATTATTGAGAGAGTCTGAGACTGATGGGTGACACTCCCTCAGTAACTGGTGTGTTACAGCACCAAACTTTCTTTGACTACTCTCTTGTTTTTCCAGCTCCTCTTGTAAATCCTACACAGAGGACACAGATATTCAGGGCTTATGCGCAAGAACAGACATGAGAAAATATATTTTCTAAAATCCTCCATAAAAAAACTAAATGCAAAGAGATACCTTATATATTCCTACTTTTCTTGACCTTTATAAAATAGACGTTTCGTCATTTTAAAATACCTGCAAACTTTTCACTTGCAGCTGAACAGCCTCTAAGGACCCTGTGAGGAGGCGGAAACGTGATACAGAGTATCTTCCCTCCATCAGGTAGCCATTGATCTCCTCTGAGGCTCGCTTGTAAAGACTCCACTGATCCAACACTGATGTCAGGCTGATCTTTAGTTGTCCTATCTGTCGAAGATTAAATAAAAAAATATTTAGTGACACTGAATGTACTGTGAAGATCAGGGCAGAGGACACCATATCAGGGATGAGAGAGTCCAGAAAAGAAGATCAGTGTATTACCAAATGGTCCAGGTTAGCCCAGGTATGATTGACACCTTGGAGTGTCTCCATGACGATGGCACAGGCCTCATCAGTTTTGTTCTGAACAAGGGCACAGCCCTGTTCTTCCACTTTCTCTAGTTCTTTTTCTTTTTCTTTAATGAATACTTCCATTTCCTATAAAAACATAAAACCAAAAAAATCCCTCACTTCATAAGCAATACTGAGATGAAATTGTGAGATTAAAACTATGCGTACAGGGGTAATATATTTAGCAAATAGGTAGTGAGAATAAAAAATAAATCAAACTTACCTGGCATTCTTTAAGAGCATTCTCCACAGATGTCAAATCCTCTATCCGATGTTTCCTTTTTAATCTTTCTTCTTGAGCTGCCATCCAAAATTTCAGGGCTTGTACGCTGCTCTCATACTCCAGCCACTTCTCCAACAGGCTCTCAAGGAACTGGATCTATTTTTTTTAAAATAAAAGAATAACTTACAACTCAGTGATGCATTGGTAATGGTCATTTTGGTCGACGTTAAATTCCATTGTTACAGTATTGGTGATTATCGCCTCACCCTCTCATTGATGCGTCCTTGTAGGATCTGCCAGCGTCGATTCATTGCTCCCAGGCGCTCAGCAAAGTCTGTCTTATCACTGCGCTTGCTGTCCCCATCCTGACCACTGATCTGTAGCACTGACTGGTTCACAAAGTCCACAGTCAACTGCTTACAGCTTAAATCTACTCTGAATCCCTAAAAAGGAGGAAAAGGTGCTTTTATAATCCATCAGTTTACACCAAAATTGTATAAAATGCTAAAAATTGAGTAGACAAGAAGTGTAATATATTGCTTCATCTGAAAAATGATAGGTTTACTACCTTGTATTTTTGCAAATAGTCCTGAATCAAATTTGATCCTACAGCACTTTTTAGGTTTTCTTCATCTTCATCTATCACATTCTCCATCAGTGATATCCAGTTAAACAGCTCAGAAATGGCATGACGGGAAGCCAGCTTTTCCATTTGGATCTGGAGAGAAAATTTACTGGCAACTTACACAGCAAGAAGAACACTGTATTTGTTGCTACTGTAATAGCAACCCTCCTGTAAAACATATGTAAAGAACTGAAGCAACAGAATAAAGTAATCCTATTTGCCCTGAATTAGCTAAGCCTGTTCAGTGTGACGGCATGTGACGATACCTGATGCAGCTTCTCCTGGACCACTGGGATTCGTGTGAGCAGCTCAGCCCACTGAGTGTCAATCCGTGCCAGGTCAGAGCGTAGCACCACTGTATCGACTTTCTTCAGTCGCAGCAGCTGATTGCCCTCAGATACCACTGAGCTCTTCAGGCTCGACTTTCCCTCCACTTCTTTGGAAAACTCCTGAGGAAAAAAAGTGATTTGTAATTATCCAGAAAGACACCAAAGAGTACAAACTAACGATTCTAAAACAGTATTTTTATTAGCAAAAAAATTAATACTACACCAGCCATACAACCAACCTCAATATATGAGAAGCATTCAAAATGCATCCAAAATATCGAATGCATACTAATTATATATTTGATAGTAACTTTTTGAGTTTATTCTGTTGTTACTTTAGGTTGATCCTCATGTTTTTTGGATTATTCTGCATGTAACTCTAGTTACACAAAATGATCATTGCCATCAGTTCACGATAAGGGATGGGATGCTATCTCTCTACGTAGGTAATGTTACTTTTTGAACAACCAAGTGAAAACAGCATATTCCTCAAAGTGTAGACATCTATCCTCAACTCCACTTGTGTTTTTTCCATTCAAACTTTTCAGCTTTTTATTATACTGTATTTCAATAAATACCAATAATTTTAGCGGTAAAGTTAAGTAGGACTAATACAGCTGGAAAGACCTAGAAAGTTTACCTAGTATAAAATAAGAATAAGAACGTTCATATTTCTGTAAGTAGAATGCTAGCTAGGGCCAAATTAAGTATATTTATCTACAAACTGAAATAATACATTATGTTTCAATGTAAAACCATATAGTAACACTGTTTCTGGGAAAGACAGAAACTTCATTAATCAAATTATTTCTGGACTCACAAGAAAAGCAGAGAGATGGTCCCTGACAGTTTCCAGCTCCTGCGGGACTAACACTGCTTGTGTGTTCCAAAATTCCAGACGCTCCAGAGCAGACTGCAGCCATTCACTAATCTCTGCACACTCTCTCTGGTACCTGCCACAAAGAATACAGTGTGAATCATGATGTTCATTCATAACTGCAATAAGTTTTATGTGTTGCTACGTGTACTTCATGTGTTTCTGACCGGGTCCAGTGTTTTAAGATGGCCTCAAGGCGTTGTAGTTCCTTGTTGACCTTTGCTGTGTTGTTAAGCCAGTGTTCCCCCAACAGTGCAAGTTGATTATCCAGTGCAGGACAGCATACTGACAGTAAGAGATGTTTGCCCTCCTCCAGCACCTGATGGAGCTTGTGCTGGTGTTCTGTCAATCTTCCTTTTAAACCCTTTAAAGAGAACCCAAGGAAAAAAAAGACTGAAACAGTGGTTCTAAAGCTTTTTGTCATTGCATCCTTGAAGTCATTTGAGGGAGGAGCTTTGATTTTAAATGTCAATAGATTTAAAAATAATTGCTAATCACCCTGTAAGTGGAATGTTTAACACCTTATTGGATGACATGTGACTTTACATAACAAGTTCCGTACTTCCTAATGTAACACATCTCCACAATTGGGCCTTCAAATAATACTAACAACATATAAGTTCTAAATAAATTACTCCCTAATATCTGCATCAATATCTCTCCGCACCTGATATAAAGAGATTCTGTCCAATAGTCTGTCTTCAGTTTCCTCCACGAGGCCAACTGAGGGGATACTTCCTTCAACCGCTTCTAGTTGCCGATTCAGACTGTGGTAGTCCTGTACCAAACGGCACCAAGTCTGGGGAAAAAGGAAAGTACAAAAACTATTGACCACAATTTGATTTATTCATTTGACAAGTGCGTTAGGTTTAGGTAAGATAATAGACAATTATTCTTGAGTAAAGGTTAGATTCGTGCTTATGAAGCCGTCTTTCTATTTGATCTGAAAAACATTAATTCATTTACTTATATATCTTTATTTGTATACAAACACTGAGAATCTGCTATGATATAATAATATACGCTGTTTATTTAAGCTTTTGAAGAGTCTGTGGGGATTTGTATGCTCTCAAGTCTTGTTACTTTGCACAAATACCTTATTCTTTAAAATTACAAATTGATAACAATAAGAACGCAGAATGAATGCTCTTCCGTATTTTGATCTGATAATTCTTTCACCAGAAAGGTTAAATATTTTCTACTCTCATGGTCCAGTCTCACCTCAAAGATGCACTCCAGCTCTACTCCTTTACTGTGTGCCTCTTTCAGGATTCTCTGAGCCTCAGCCATGGTCTCTTCCAAGGTTTGGCTCTCTTTCGGCATCATAAGGCTACTGATTTTCCTGAAGTATGTTTCTGTTAAAATCATGTGGGACTCCAGACCTTGGAAAAATTCCTAGAGAAGACAACAAAGATTGTCTTGGTCATTTTTTCTTTTAGTGTATTTGCTCCTGTAATACTGGCATTAGGCTTAGTGTTTCATGTTGTTGAATATAAACATTCATTCAGTCTACAAATTCAGAGAGCTTTAAGTTGACCGTGCCTTATGTTTGTCTAGGTGATTCTGAACATCTTCCACAGAGTTGGCAATGATTCGCTGATCAGCAGTCATTTTGTCTTTAGCTGTGTCAACCAGGTCCATCAGATCCTGCAGAGCTCGTTCATACTGTTCCTTCAGAGCCATGTTCTGGTTCAGCCCACTGCGTCTGGAGATCACTGTCATCAACAGCTCCTCATAGGAATCCTGAAAAGATGCACAGAATTCAAACGTTTTTCAGCTTGTTGGGATTCTGCTTGCCAAAAAACACTATGGTCAATGCTGTGCATTCCTAATACAAAATGTAAAAAATCACTGAATCAAGCAACCTCTATTAAAAAGTTGAAGTGCACAGTGTGAGAGCTATCTGTGAAGCAAGTTACCTGTAGTTTCAGCATCTTGTTTGTTGAGATCTGATCAGCTTGAAGTGCTGCTCCCCTGGTTTTATGCTCAGTGATTCTCTGTTCAAAGTCTTTCAGGCTCTCCTCTGCACTAGCAATGACCTGAGCCAAGTGAATGATATCGTGGATATGGGATTTTGACATATTTTGAATAACTGAGCCTTCTTTAATAGTGCCTTTACATTAAGAGTGATGCTGAGATTACCTCCAGTTGTTTTGAGGCTGGTCTATCCATTGAAAGGGCTTGCAGGATCTGGCATTTGTTCTCAATGAAAGCCGTTTGAAGAAGCTGCAGTTCAGTCTACATCAAACAGAAAAAAAACGTATGTCTGATGGTATATGTTATGTTCTCTGAATATTTGCTATGTACAATAATACAGGATTTACAGTACCTATATTCCAGAGGTATAAACATATCATGGTTACTACATCTAAATACAAAAAATAAATGAAACTCTTATAATTAATTAAAAGTACAATTTGAGCTAGACCTGGTATGCTGTGAGTTCATGTGTTCTTGTCCTCATGTGGTCACAACGTTTTCCTAGAGCACCACCAAGAGCTCCTAATCTCTCTTTCAGGCAGTCCAGGTTGTCCTCCAGAAGAACCCGCTCTTCTTGTTTTAACCCTGGGGATCCAGCTAGCAGAGCCTGACTGAGCTTCACCTCCTCTGTCACATGCTTGACATCATTCTCTAGGACCTGCAGAGATTCAGCTTTTAAACTTTTTTCTCTAAATTGCTACAAACAAAATGACATGGTTTCATGCACAGATGAGCAGGTAGTTTTTGGATTCAGAAGAAACATTTGTATATTTTAATTCAGATTACAGTCATTTGTAGTTATTCATTCTCTGATATTTCAGTCTTTCAAATAATAAATCCATCCATCCATTCATTGTCTATATTGCTCACAGGTAGCTGGAGCCTATCTCAGCTGACACTGCATAAGAAGTGGGGTACAACCTGGATAAGTTTCCAAGGCAATAAATCGACTTCTCATAAATTGTGTAAACTAATTTCTTTATTAAGATCTAAACCCTTAAAAATCCTAACATATCTCACAGAAGAACAAGTATTTCTAATGTAATGATAAATAAAACTGAAGAATTTAGCTTGGGCACACCTCCTGATTTTGGAGCTGGGTCTCTGCATTTTCAGCCAGCAGCACTGAGCCAGAGAAAACATTGTTCTCCACTCCATCCAGCCAGGACGAGGTAGACGACACAGCAGTATAAAGCTGCTGTTCCATCTGTGCCACCTGTATCTCCCCTCCACCGCCAGGCTACGTACACAAATGAACAAAACATCTTAAGAAAAGTTTTTGCCAACAGCAGGAACTTCAGTATGTAACATGATTAAAGAAATGCTTAAACCTGAGTGGTCATGTCTTCAACTGCCTGTCTGAAACTAAAATACAGAGTCTTCAAGGAGGATTTGTCAGCCTGAGTCTCCTTTTTAAATAGTGGCCCAGCTGTGCTCACACGAGAAGGTCTGGAAAAAAACTGAACAGGTAAAGAAAAAAAGAATCAGATGAAAGCCCAAAAATGTGTATTTGCTTTTACATCACTATTGTATACAAGCAATACTAAGAATTCTGTACCGGCTGCTTGTGGTCCTGCTCAAGTGTTTTCTGCAGGAGATGCAGTTTAGTTTTCAGCTCTAGTCTGAGACTCTCCCACCTCTGCCTCATCTGTTCTTGGCCAGCTTCAGCCAAAGCTGTTGGTGAAAAAGGCTCTGTTGTGCTGCACAAAGTAAAGGAAAAAACATTAGTGAAGAGAGTTTACTGTAGAAACATTTGATTTGTGTGCATATGGAATGTAAAATACCTGGCACTACTTGGTGAGGACTGTTGAATCAGGATCTCCTCTCCTCTACTAGCAACTGACTGAAGCAGCTTTTTTTGCTCTGCGAGCTGCTCTTCAAGTTCCTTCAGGAAAATTAAACAGATGTCAGATTACACCATCCATCAGACTTGATCATAACATAACAAAACATAATCATCTTTTGGATAGCGGTACAACTCATCGCAAGTGATCAAACCGTATGCAGAATATAACAGGCTAATGAACTTCCACTCCGGAATATTGAAATAAAAGTAAAAACAAGCTTAAAGAATACCCTTTGTCTTTGAAGACTGTCCTCATTCTGCTGGTTTCGTGTCGTCCGAGCCTGGGCCAGCCAGTCCTGCACACTGGGACTCTGAGAGAGACTGGAATCTGATTCACTGTCTTCTGGCTCCTGCAAAGAATCCTTTGGAAGCATACATGTTGTATTATAAACCCAGGATTGAAAAGTTTTGAGAGCTTATTAATAGGCAAAAGGACAAGCTACAACAAAGAGAAGCTGCATGTTTAGCTTTTGGACTTTTCTATTGATAAATCTTTCACCTTTTTTAATATTTAGTCATTAGACAGAATCAGAGAGTGTATAATAATGCTTCAAGGAAGAAGGTGATTTCTTGAACAGAAAAATGTTAACTTAGCTGGTAAATGAAAAAATAACATTATTTTAAAAGGCCTCACTAATTAAATCAATTTTTGATGTCATGTTCAAAACAGCACTGAGGCAGTCTGTGGCAGATTTCTACATTTTTACCTGGTAGCCTACTCACCTGGATGCTAATCTGTTTGTCTTGTAGCATCCTCTGGAGGTCCAACAGACCTCCCTTCAGTGTGCGTAACCTCCCAGTCAAATACTCTGCTTCCTCTCTGGTGTCAGTCCGACCCTCCAGCAGCAGGTTCTCACTGTGCAGTGATAACTCTGTGAGGGCCAACACCTTCTCTTCGATCTCCAGCAGCATATTCTGCAGCAGCAAGAGGAGAGAGGCCAGCTCAAACATGGTGCCTCACAACCTACAGAAGCTCCTCCCTCTACACGATGGACCCTCCAGGTCTGGCTGAGCCCCCAGCTCTAGCAGCTTTCCCTGGCCACAGGACAGAGATAGCTCTCATCCTTGGCCCACCTTTCCGCCCTCGCCTCCGGTGCAACATATTACCACTAATCCGTCACGCTTCAAGGTCTGCAGCGCACATTCTCTCGGTCCATTTCAATAACAGTTCTCCAGCATTTAGCATCATTATAAATCCACTCTGCGCATCAGGTCTTATCAGTGCGTGTCGCTTCGGTTTTTTAAGAGACAAGTTTTTTAATAGCATAGCCACTCCTCCTCAACTGGTAGATTCAGCAGCTTATTCCAAGTCAAAGAGTATCTGCCTCCCGCCTTTCCTTCCCTGTACTCTAGGATTCCCCTACTTGGATATTCAAGCAGCTTATTCCACAGTACCAATCATGGCAGCACTCCCCATTAATACTCTGACATATACAACCCTTGTTGACTCCGCCCTATGCTTTGTACCCCCCTGTCCCACAGAAAACTCTGCATAATCTCCTTAAGACTAGTGATGCAATCACTTAACTGTCCAGCCATCTGAATGCCACTCTAACCCTTCTAATGCTCCTGTTTACTCTCCGGAAAGCCCCTGTGATGATCCATATGTGATGTGCAATAGAAATTCTTGAAAAAATAAGACATAATCAGCTTTTGATTTGCATTAGAGAGACAATGTCGATTATTCAGTTCAACAGCTCTCCATAGCTGTCCATGTCGTTCTGCGCTATCATCTAAAAAGTCTGGTATAATTGTGTCACTACATATTTATTTTAAGTAATCCACAGGTATTCCTAAATAAAATACAAAACTGTAAAAACATTTTTTTATACATTGCTCTGAGTGAACAGCAGGGGGAGCCCCTACCTGACATTCACTGAGCTGAACTTCCATCTCTTTCTCCTCTGCAGGTCTAGGTTCCAGGATGAAAATGACAGCACTGCTCATTCGGGTCAACCACCGTTCCAGTTCATCTACCCGATTGTGATAGGACTGTATGGCTTGCTCATGGCGCTCACCCTCAAGGCGATCACTCATACGCTCCTGCAGCAGGTCAGATCACACTCAATCAATTTATTATCCCTGCCAAGGAGGTTATGTCATTTGTTTCTTCTTACCAGATGAGGCAATACTCTGATTACACATGTGTCAACATTTCTAATCAGATTACAATTCTCAAACAGATTTTTTTTTAAAGAAAGTAATAGGACAAATGGTATAATTAATGCATTAATATTACACAAATATGAAATTGTTCTATGTTTAAATAACTACCTCTAGTATTTGTTGTTTCCCTGAAGCTTTCATGTGGATTGTAGCTATTCTTTCAGCCAAAACAGCAAGTGAGGCCTGCATGGCCAGCTGTTCAGCCATGTCTTTGTCCTCGGCATCAGCAGCAAGATCTTCGGAAAAGTTTGACTGCAGCCTGTCTATTTCTTCCTGCACAGTCTGAATGTCATCCATGAGAGCCTGTGCACAACAACCCAGAGGTAAGCAATGCATATTCTCCATTGATTTCTCATCAAAGAATCAGATCAGACTCTTCTGATTACCTTATTATACTTGTTAAATACTTGTAATTTGGAGACATGCATTAGTAAGAATATTAAGATTAGTAAGATAGTAAGAAGTGGTTAACACAGATGGAAAGAATTAATCTATATACCCAACCTGAAAAAAAAAAGATTGTTGTAGAGATGTATAGGTATTCAAATCTATACTGTTGTAAATCTCAATACGTTCATTCACAAAAAATGGACACTATGGATGACAACGTTGGGGTACATTCCCCCTGCATTTTCATCTGCCAAACAGCGACATTGTCAATGAGCTCAAAATGTTTTGAATACGTCAATGAAGGAGGAATTTCAAAAAGTGATTTGCCATCACCTTAGTATGAGTCTCACCTTGTGTGCCTTTATGTGTCTGTCTGGACTTTTATCTGTGTCCAGAGGTTCACTGAGTTTGCTCTCCAAAGTCTCCATTTTAGTGGAGATTAACTGAAGAGAACCCTGGTAGTGCTGCTGTTTTTCCAGGGCTTCATACAAAGATCTCTGCTTTTCACTGATCTGTAAAACAGTAATTAAGAACATAAAATTGACAAGTTTGAAATACCCTTACAAATAACAACAACTGATAGATCAACAAATTAATGCAATTGTGAGAGGCGTTGTTTTCAACCAGATTATTAGAGGTACTTTCAAGACAAATGTGCAATAGTGTGGTTTGCATTATGAAAGTGTGTGGTAATTGAGCCATTGTCATAACTGAGTGCATGACATTGAAAGTAAAAGATAATAATGATCAATTTACCACATTCTTCAAAGTCTCCCATGAGCGCTGCAGGTCATCTAAATTGGCAACAGACTGAAATGTTGGGTCATACAATTCTTGGATTGGAGCTCTTGTGAGTGTTCCACGTCCGAACTACAGAAGAGATTAACCACAGTTTTTACAAGTACTAGGGAAGAATGGACTATAAATGGACAATTGGCCATTTTTTAATCATCAGATCCATATTTTTGAGTGACAGTGTCTTTGTTAACTAAGCAATTCAAGAGGAAATATTTCAGAAAGAACTAAGAAGAAAAAAGTTTTAAACATAGACTTAATAATCAGGCAGAATCAGAAACATTGCAAATATATGTAGTTATTATAATTGCTTTCTGTCTGAAAGTCAGGAAACAATTATCAAGAGAAAGAGGGGATGGATACCTTAGTGAAAGTGCCTTCAGGGTGAGTAATAGGAGAAGGAGAACGGCAAACAGGAGATGAAGACACTTCACTGTTGGTGCCCTCTTCCCCAGACTCCTCAGTGACAGGAGACAACAGAGTGTGACAGCGGCCAGCTGTCATCTGACACATTAACAGAGATAGACTGTTAATGAGACTGTTAAATTCAGCGTTAATGGGTAAAATTTCATGCCAAAGTCGGAAACAGAAGAGAATAGATTTAAAGATTGATCAAAATATTACATCAGCTGTATGTATGTATGTATGTATGTATGTATGTATGTATGTATGTATGT